TTCCCTACTTATCTATTTAATATTTAATTTGCTGTTTGCTTTAATTGAAAAGAAGCTTGCAACACAGAAAAGAGCCCTATTGTAAATAACCCAGGCTTTCCCACCGGGGTGCTGATAAGAGTTAAGTTCATGGCACTATGCAATGATGTGTGTAACTGTACAGGAAATGGTGTGTTAGCTATACTGAAATGCCATGAAAGGGGTGGTGATAAAAAAAATAAGCTCAAGTTATCTCCTGCTGATGGCCGTGCAACAGACTTTTCTCAGGGCTGTTGCATGCCTTCCTGTGGTTCTGCAGGCCTGCACCGTACGTAGCTATCCCCCTGCTCTGCTTGCTCATCTGTATCACAGCTTGTACCTCGCTGCCGACACAGAATTCAAATTATACTGTGCACACTGTGGAAAGGGTCTCAGATGCTCTCTTTGTGGGGTGCCCTTGTCAGCATCTCCTGGAAAAATTGGGTTTCCTTTCATTATAAACACAGTATCAAAACCAAACCAAAATTAGAAATCTTGACTTAATGGAACAGCTTGGGGACAAAATTGTGGACGGATCTGGACTTCAGTGTTTTGCCAAAGCTCGCCGCTTGCTCTCACTGATCCTTCTGCCGCAAGCAACCTGTTTGATTTTCGCTCTGCTGAAGCCCGTTACAAGGGCTGTGGTGAGAGCATCCCCGACAGGGACACCCCACCACCCTTCGGGAGGGCGGCAGACCTGGCGGCACGGACCCAACCAGAGCACCACGCCAGGTCCTGCACATGTCGGTCCCCGTCGGGCTGATCCTGCCACCGCATGGCAGCACGCCCCATTGTCCTCGATCCACCATGAAAACCAGGCACCCAACCTGCGCCCTCCTGAGACGTGGGTTTCTGAAGGAGCTCAGGGTTGGGCCTGCCCATCCTCAGAGGTCTCAGTGGCTGAAGCCTGACCCATCTTTCCACATCCTTCTGCAGTAAATATGCAAATGGCCGATGAGGACACACACTGACACACACCAACAAACAAATCATCTTCCATCCTGCAGTTTTTGCTTGGTATAGTTTGAGGCACACACAGTTAAAGGCTTTACCGTATCGTTATTGGTGTCTTGTTGCTAGAATAGAAAAAATGTGAACTTTCATGTACCAAGTATACGGAGCTATTAATAAACAAATAACATCCAGGTTGGCTCTCCCATACATGCAAACCACAGATGATTTCAGCAGTGTTTGCCTTTCACATTTCTCACTGATTCACATATTCAGGCGCCTGGGACTGACACTCCTGGCTATCCGTTTCAGTAGTATAATCCTCAAGCACCAAAGGGCAGAGGAGGAACTGACTCACAGCTGACGGTGAACTAACCTTTTCCCCTGTGTTTCACCATTCATGGTGCTGTGCTTGATACCCCCCGCACACCTCAGCCGGGTGCAGAGGCACCTGGAAGGCCAGTGGGACCTGTCGCCTCCCGGCTTGCAGTAGGGCTGACGGTGACCCCCTCCAAGGTATGGGGCCGGTGGAGCGGAGGACAGCTTCAGAAGACACCAGACAACTTCAGAAGATGCCA